CATTCAAAGATGACTTACTGATGAATCCTATCAAACATTGAAGGAAGAAATATACAAAGCCTTCCAGTAATGAAAAAAGTTAGGGACACCTGCCAACTCATGCTATGAGGTCAGCATTATTACCCTAATACAAAAATCAAATATAAACACTACAAAAATGTGAAACTACAAATCAAGATCTTTCATAAACACAGATACAAATATTCTTAACAAAACTTCAGCAAATTGAAAACACATTAAAAAAAAAAATACATCAGTGCCAAGCAGTGTATATGCTAGGAACAAAACACTGGTTTTTTTTTGAAAATCGATCAATGTAATTCACTATGTTAACAGAAACTATACAATCATTTCAACACATGCAAAAAATACCAAGCAAATAAACAAACAAAACATTTGGCAAAATTCATTTCTGATAAAAACTCTTAACAAACTAGATAAAATGGAACTTCTTCAATCTATAAAAAGCCAATAATTAATCATACTTAATCATGAAAGACTGAATGTCTTTTCCCCTACGATAAGTTAAAAGATAAGGATGTCTGCTCTCACCACTTCTACTCAATATTGTACGAGAAGTTTTAGCCAGTGTAAGAAAGTCATGTAAGAAAAGGAAAAGAAAATGAAAAGGTTTCAAGATTGGAAATAAAGAGATATGAAGTTTTATTTATTCACATTGATATGACTATCTGTGTAGACATCTCATGGAATCTACAAAAAGGGTATAAGAGTGAGTTTAGGAAGGTTACAAGATTCAAGATGAATATACAAAAATTTAATATATCTTTATATACTAGCAAAAAATCAGAAATTGAATTTGTTCTTAAAATATCATTTAGTATCAAAAATATGAAACACTTAGAGATAAATTTGACAAAAGAAGTGCAAGACCTGTATATTTACAAGTACAAAACACTGCTGAGAAAAATTAAATATCTAAACAAATGAAGAGAGATATGTTCATGAATCAGAAGACTTAATATTAAGATGCTAAATCTTCCCAAATTGGTTTACATACTCAATATAATCCCGGTCAAAATCTGATCTTCTTTTTTTGTAGAAATTGAGAAGTTTATTCTAAGGATTAGCAGTACCTAACTTTAAGACTTACTATAAAGCTATAGTAATAAAACAGCATAGTATTGGCTTAAGAATAATTATATAAATCAATGGAATACAATAGAGCCCAGGAAGATGATCACAAATATTTGGACAACTGATTTTCCACAAAGATGACAAGGGAAAGATATTAGCAACAAGTTATGTTGGAACAACTGAATTTCCATATGCAGAAAGTGAATCTCTACCCTTACCTGACACCATACTAAAACTTAAGTCAATATGATTCATAGTTTGAAATTTAAGAACTAAAACTGTAATGTTTCTAGAAGAAAACAGAAGAGAAAATATTAGTGACTTTGGGTTAGGCAAAGATTTCTCAGATAGGACACTAAAAGTACTAAACACAGAAGAAAAGAATAATAATTGTACTGATCAAAATAAAGGAAAACAAACTTTTGTTCCTCAAAAGATACTTAAGAAAATAAAAGACAAGGCTTAGAACTGGAAGAGAGTATTTATAAAACATATACTTAATAAAGCACTTATTTCCAAAATATATAAGGAATTATTACAAATAAATAATAAAACTACTCGATTGAAAAAATTGGGTGAAATATTTGAATAGATATTTTGGCAAAAAAGATACATAGATGGCAAATACGTGCATAAAAAGATGTTCAACATCACGAGTGATTAGGGAAATGCAATTTAAAATGACAATCTACTACATATCCACTAGAATGCCTAAAATTAAAGACTGTCAACTCCAAGTATATGGAACAACTGTAACTCTCATATGTTGCTAGTGGAAAGAGAAAAACAATACAGCCACTTTGCAGATCATTTAGCATTTTCTTATACAGTTAAACATATATTTATTTACCTTATGACCCAACAATCCACTTAGGAATATACCCAAGAGAAACGAAAACATATGTTCACACGAAGACTACACTTGAATTTTTATAGCAACTTCACTCAAAATAACCAAAATGCGAAACAACCCAAATGTCCGTGGGTTGGCAAATGAATAAATAAACTGAGAAACACTCAAACAATGGAATAACACTCATCAATAAAAAGTAATTAATACTGGTACATGTAACAACATTGATTAACCTCAGAATAATTATGTGAGTTAAAATAGCCATATTAAAAAAGAGTTCATATTATATGAGTCCACTTACATAAAATTTTAGAAATGTAAATTAATTTACAGTGACAGTATTTTCCTCACTGGGGAGAAGGGAGACAGGCAAGGAGGGGTGAGTAGGAGGGATTCCAAAGGGCATGAGGAAACTTTTGCGGATGATAAACATATTCATTACTTTGACTGTAGCAACGGTTTGGCGAATTTATACATATGTCAAAATGTATCAAATTGTATACTTTAAATGTGTATAATTTGTCTCATGTCATTTATACCTCAATAAAGCTGAGTTTTGTTTAAAAGACTTGCCACAATGTATGTTTAAGAACACAGCACAAAAATTATTTAAAGATGAGCCAGACCAGTCTATTTAAAAAAAAAAAAAAGTATATTCATTATCACAGACTCAATAATCTTTAAAATATCAAGTAAGGCATTTACAAGTTAACATAATTTTTTTTTGTAACCCTCTCTTGTTTTCCATGACTATTTTATCTCTGCTGTTAACTAAGAATAAGGTGGTTCTGTTTTGAGCAATATTTCTTCCTAGGCATTCACGACTTTCACAAACTGAAGAATAACTTGATTCTATAATCAGCAGAATGACACAATAAACAAAGGTAAGCAGAAAATGCAGGAAGGCACTAAATGCCATTTCTCAGTCAAGTAAATCACTTACCACCTGCCATGTGCCTTTTTCCTAGCTACCTAATTATTCCAACACTAATTTCCAAATTTGTTTGAAAAGTTAAACTGAAATTTAATGTTCTACTTACCAGCTGTTTTTCTTGTTTCTCTAAAGCTGCTCGATCTCTGATTATAGCTCTTTGTGTACCTCGTAACTCTCGATTCTGTTCCTTTATCACATCTATGAGAATCACAAAAGAAACCTAAATTTATGGGTTGTAAAATTTTCTTCAATACTGTTTAAAATACGAAACTCAGAGACCACAATAAAAAGAAGAAACCTAGATTTACTAGATGTTAATTTTTTTCTTTCAATTTAGCATACTAAAAAAATTAGTCAAATATTAAAATTTGTATTATAAATATTGATTATAAAAGAATTGACTAACAATGAGTGTAAATACGCTACAGTCTGAGGTTTAACCAAAAGTATAAATTAAATCACCATAAAATATTCCCTTAGAGAAATGATTAGCATACAAGTACAATGTTTTATGTATATGTCACACACATACACACACACACAAACATATAACCTTTTCATCTCTTCTTACTCCAATGCTATATAAAATTTCAGGAAGGAGGGCAGGTCATGTATTTATCAAATCTTTTTCCCCCCTACAGTAAGTCATAACAGAATGAAACAGCAGACCTTACAAAGAGGCAGATCTGGATTTGAATCCCATCTTCTCCGTTACTTGATCATTATATAATCATATCTTGGAATAGTTAGTTAACACTGTAAATCTCAGGTTTCTTATTTATAAAACAGTGATTATTTTAAGGAGTAAATAGCATACAAAATGCCCTGATATACTGTAAGTGTCTATTCAATCACAGTCTTTCTAATTTATCTCAACTTATCTGGATTCTTTTAGAACTACCTTTTGAAGAATTGAACTATTACTTTAGGCCTGATGGACTGTAATTTGGGTTAGCTGTTACTAAATAGTGATTTCTTTTTTGTTTTTTTTCCTTTTTGTCTTTTTTCGTGTCCGGCAACGGATCGCAACCCTCAGTGTCACGCCCGTACCGGACCGGGACTGGCAATGGGATCGCAACCCTCGGCGTT